AGCTTCACATCATTCCAAGAGAAGAGTCTGATTGTGCCTGTCCCTTATCTTGATGGACAGAGGGAGGGCAGTTCCCCAAAAGACAATCGTGAAAGGGGTAGGAGCTCTGGGTGGGGAAGTCCATGTGCCCATTTTACAGCTAAGGAAAGCAAAGCCCAGAGAGAGGTGGATGGGTCAGTCTGGGCTCCATCCAAAGGACCTTCTGCTGGGCTGCTGCTCCGCTTCTGGTGCTGGGGACTGGGTGAGAACAGGGAGGGCATTGTGCAGAATGTGTGGCTGCCTTCTGAGCTCCCCACAACCCAGCAGGGCCTCTGCGGGGCCAGGAAACCATGGCAGACTGAGGCTCATTCAGGGGCTGAGGCCTCCCCGCCTCCCTCCCCCGGCAGTAAACACACTCCCTTCAAAGGCGGCCCCAGTCCTACTTTTTAAACGTGAAGCCAAAGGGGAGCGGAAAGAGTCTATTTTTCTAACATGCGAAACCTGGTGTGGACCCAATAAAACACGCCTGAGCCTGGAGGTAGCAGAGGACAGCCAGATGGTCCTGGACCGCCCCTCTCGGCACACCAAATCAAGGCAGGCCTCGTGTATGTGACTACGCGAGTTTCCTCACTCTGAATTTGGATATACAAAGAAAAAACGAGCCTTTTGTGTTTTCCTCTGTGGTCATTTATTGCCAGGATTAGGAGCAAGAGATATTCCAGGGTCAGAGGAGCAGGGTTCAAATCCTTGCTCCAGCCACTTACTAGCTGTGTGGCCTTGGGCAAGTTGTTGAACCTCTCCAGGCCTCAGTTTCTCACCCAAACACTGGAGGCATGCACCCGGACCAGTGCCTGACATTTGATAAACACCACACCAGGCTCTGCTGGTCTCCACCCCTGGTTTGACCTTGGTCTTGAGCCCTTCAGTGTGAGGAAGGAAAACTCCTAAACTTGGCTGCTTAAACTGCTTGGCTAGCAGAGGCCCCTTGGTGATGATTAAAGCTTGGCTGCTAACCCAAAGGTCAGTGGTTCGAACCCAACAGCTGCTCTGCAGGAAAAAGAAATGGCATTCTGCTCCCGTAAAGATGGTTGTCCTTAGGTCTTGTAGACTGAGTGTCAACTCAGGGGTTCCCTTGTGTGATAGACGGTGTTACTGTCTGGTCCTGTACCAGCCTCACAATCTTTGCTGTTTGTGAGCCCCTTGTTGGCAACCACGGTGTCAATCCATCTTGTCTTCCTCTTTTTGCTGTGTTACCGAGCATGTTGTCCTTCTCCAGGGACTGGCCCTGCCTACTAGCATGTCCTCTCTTCTATGGAGCATTCCAGCTACACTTCTCCCAAGACAGTTGGAAGGCCATGTCATGTTCGATATTCTGCACCAGCACTCTAAGTCAAAGGCACCAATGATGCTTCAGGCTTCTTTCTCCATTGTCCAGCTTTCCCAGGTACATGAGAGACTGAAAATACCAACACTTTTGCCTAGTCACTCTGGGAGCAGCCCTGGTAATGTCGTGGTTACACACTGGGCTGCCAACCGCAAGGTTAATAGTTCAAAACTACCAACTGCTTCTCGGGAGATAGATGAGGCGTTCTACTCCTATAAAGAGTGACCGTCTTGGAAACCCACGGGAGCAGTTCTACCGTGTTCTATAGTGTCACCATGAGTCAGAATTGACTCGATAGCAATGGGTTTGGTTTTTTGGTTTTGCATAGTCAATGAAACACAGGTAAATATCTATCTGTCATTCTCTGCTTTCCGCTAAGATCCAGCTGTGATCAGTGGTGATGGCCCTCGTTCTACGTCCTGGTTCTACACCCTCTATGACTGGATTGAATTCTGGCAGTTGCCTGTTGATATACCAACTGCAACCACATTTTAATTCAGAAGATTTTTTCTTTGTGCATGTTATTAATTATATTGTTCAATAATAGCTGCATTTTGTTGGATACCCTTTCTTTGGACTGGGCACAAATATGGATCTCTTCCAGTTACGGTAGTTGGCCAGGTAGCTGCCTTCCAAGCTTCTTGACATAAACAAGGGCTGCCAGCACTGTATCCATGTATTGAAACATTTCAATTGAGGTTCCATCTATTCCTGGAGCCTTGTTTGTTGTTGTTGTTATTGTTGTTTGTTTTGCAAATGCCTCCAGTATACATTGGGCTTCTTCCTTCAAGACCATCGGTTCTTGATCATGTACTATCATATCTTTCAATGGCTGAATGTCAGCCAATTCTTCTTGATGCCGTGACTCTATATATTCCTTCTGGTCGTTAATTAACTTGTGTCCCTCCCAAACATGTGTCAACTTGGCTGTGCCGTGCTTCTCAGTGGTTTGGCAGGTACGTAATGATGTAATTATCCCCATGATGTGATCTCATGAGATCAGCACTGATTTGCTGTAAGAGGATTAAGGTGAGATGTAATCCCTTTTGAGTCACAGCCTCGATGCAGATGTAAGGTGAGTTTCCCTGATGTGAGGCTTGCATCGTTTTTTATCTTACAGGCAATAAAGGGGTAGAGAGAGCTCCTATCAGCAAGGAAAGAAGTGTGGACAGTTGACTGCATCCTTTGGACTTGTGGTCCCTGCACTGAGAAACTCCTAGACCCAGGGGAAGGTTGAGGGAAAAGGTGCTTTCCTGGAGTCAACACAGAGAAAACCTCCCACGGGGGGTGGGGGTGGGGGGGTGCCTTGAATTTGAACCTTTGATTAAAGCCATCCACCTGTACTAGTTCTGCTCTAACTAAGGCACCATCCATCTTCTCCTGATGCTTCAGTATTTTGCCCATGTTTGTGTTAGGTGCCTTCAATTCTGTTCCAACCCATAGCAACCCCAGGCACAGCAGAATGACAGACTGCCTGCTCCTGCACCAGCCTCACAATTGTGGCTGTGTTTGAGCCCATCGTAGCAGCCACTGGGTCGATCCATATTGTTCAGGATCTTCCTCTTTTTCACTCCCTTGCTACTTTACCTTGGAAAAAGACAAGGCTTTCTACCCCCAGAAAGAGGTACAGTCTTGGAAAGGCACAGGAGCAATTCAACCCTGTCCTACGGGGTCGACTCAAGGGCAGTGGGAATTGGCTCAATGGCTGTGAGTTCTACTCGACCAAGTGCAATGTCCTTTCCAGAGACCGGTCTCTCCTGATAGCATATCCAAAATACGTGAAACAAAATCTCACCATCCTGGCTGGACTGCTTCCAAGACAGATTTATTTGCTCTTCTGACAGCCCACGGAGCTGTCAATATTCCTCGCCAGCATTCATAATTCAAACACATTGCTTCTTCTTCGGGCTTCCTTATTCAATGTCCAGTGTTCACAGGCCTAGGAGGCGATTGAAAATGCCATTGCTTGGGTCAGGCACACCTTAGTCTGCGGAGCGACATCCTTACTTGTCAACACTCTGCAGAGACCTTGTGCAGCAGACTTCATTTCTTGCCTGCTGCTTCCCTGAGCATTGACTGTGAATCCAAGCAAGATGAAACCTTGACAACTTCACTCTCTCCTCCCTTGCTCATGATGTTATCGACTGGTCCAGTTAGCAGGAGTGCGGTGTTCTCTGCCCATGGGCACATGCAAGACTGCCCCTCGAGGCTGAAATGCCTCGTCAGTCCTTTCAGCTTGAGAAATGCCAAGTGTGTGCTTCCCTTTAAGTTGGCTAACTCCGCGTCTTGGCACAGTTCGTTATAAGACTTTGTTTTCTCAGGCTGCTCTTTGAAACCTTCCGTTCAGCTCTTCTACTTGATCTTTTCCTCTGTTCACTTTAGCTGCTCTACATTCAAGAGCAAGTTTCAGAGTCTCTTCTGACGTCTACTTTGGTCTTGTTGTTCTTCCTGTGTTCTTAGTGCCTTCTGCTTTTTCCATGTAGGATGTCCCTGCTCTCACCCACAGCTCATCTGCTCTTGATCGTAGTCTTTTGTTGTCTCTACCTTCAGGTGGCATCTGCTAGGTGGCACTTTGGTTCCCATGAACTTGCCTTCCTTTTCTTCAGCTTCAACTTGAACTGTGGTCTGTCCCACAGGTGGCTTCCTGATCTTGTTCTAATTGATTTTACTGGGCTCTTCCATCATCCCTTTCCACAGATATGGTCACTCTTGTGTTCTGTCTAACAAGGTCCGCGTGTAGAGTTGCCATTTATGTTGTGGGAAAAAGTCGTTTCCAACAAATCAGTTGGTCTTGCAGAACTGTGTCTTGTGATTCTTCATTTCTGGCACGACAGTCATATGTTCCACCTACTGACCCTTCTTATTCAACTGTTTCCAGTTTTTGAACATCGATCAATGGTGCCTAGAATAACATCTTTAGTTTCTTGATTTTCTTTCGTATGTTTCTTCGGTCCATGAAACCCAGGACAGGGAAATCTACAGAGTCCGTAGCTGGAACGGGGTTAATAGTTACCTAGGGACATGGCAGGGGAGATTAGGGGGAAATGGAACCTAACAACAATGACTATGAGAAAGAAGAAAATGTTCCAAAGTCAATTGTGGTAATGATTGCACACCCCTTCTTAATGTGACTGGACTACTGGATTGTACGATACATGAATCATATGCCAATCAAACTTAATTACATTTTTAAAAATTAGAATTAAAAAAGAAACTAGTGTGCATTCCAAAGAGCTTTTGTTCATGTGGATTGTATCTATTATTTACTATAGTATAAATAATCTGAAAAACCTTAAACATATTTAATTCATTAAAAAATAACAAATCTATTATGTATTTGCATAAATAAATTTGCATTTGCATCTCAATGATATATTTGATTCATTATAGGCTGCAGAAGTTGGTTAAAAAAAGCTTCAATTTTTTTCACCTTTGATATGAATGGTCAGTGCCTAAATCTGATTAATAATCATAGGACCCGGTCTTCCTTACGACGATTGCCCTATCACCGACAGGAGCTGGAGGCTAAATCTTGACACGTTCTTTATGATGATGAAGGTGATGCCACTCCTCTTTGATTTGTCGTTGCTGGCATACTAGACTAATTACATTGTCGAACTAAAAATGGCCAGTGCCTAGCGCTTTGGCTTGCGTCTGTTTAATTTGTGGGTCAACACTCAAAAGACAGGTGCAAAAATAAATCCTCTGTTGCAACCCAGAACTCAGAGTGGAGTGTTGGTTTGGATACAGATCAGCAGGGACACACAACTCACCCTGGAGCCCTCGAGTTGGTGCAACACATGGCAAACCCACCCTTGGGTCACTCTGGAGCACGGCAAGGTTTCTAATGTCTGGTTTTTGTGGACACAGATTCCAGGCATTCCATTCGAGACCAGTTAGAAAATGTGTTAGCCTTGACAGAAGGCATTTAAAGCCGCTGCGTGTGATGCACACCATTACATATGATCAAAACATCAGTGCATCGGTCATGAAGACTGTCTCAGTTATGTTGATTTGGCCTTCTGATTGCATTGTTACCATGGGACTCTAAGATTGTCTCTTCCTTAGGCTTTTATCTTGAGAACCAGAGGCCTGGACTTTCAGGCGTTGATGTGGCCTGCAGATCCACCGTGGGTTTGGGAGGGCAAAGGATGCCAACTCAGAATGACAGAGGAGGAAGCCAGAGTCTACCTACTCACATCCTAAAATGACCCTGAAGGGAATAATTGGAAAGGAGTCCAGGCAAAGAATGTTGGAAGTGTGTCATATTTAACTGGAGACTAAAATAGCCAAATTGTTACAGATCTGAGATCAATGGCTACTGGACAGTGGAGGCAGTCGAAGTAATTCCCCGATTACTCTGTAATGGTCTGTGGAAATGGGACATTAAATTGATAATAGTGCCAGATTCTTTTTAAAATGAATATAAATCTTCACAAGATTTGGAGGAACGAAGGTGACTTTGATTGATGGACAGCGAATGAAAGACGTAAATTTTCTTAAATAAAATGTATTAACATTAACGAAGAGACATGTAAAATAACTTTTACACTAAAAAAAAAAAAGATGTATGGGGAGTGCAGTACCAGTTGATTTCAACTCGTGGCTAATGCTTAGGATATTGTGTTAGGCGGGGCTCACTCGAGAAGTCAAACCAGTGACACTTACATATGTTTATTTTCATACTTACACTTATAGTTATGTTAACAAGAACATGGCCTACACAGTTGTAAGTCCAAACCCAAGCAGGTTCAGATGAGAAATCAGTGGCTCAGAAGTTAAACTGGAGGCTTTCCGTGACTTGAGTAGCCGTGGGGGCTGATGACCCTAAGATTGGCAGGAAGACCACAAGCTGGTGGCTGCAGAGGAAGATGAGTCCAGGCTGCTGACAACCCCCAAGATTAACAAGCAAGATGGCAGACCATTGACTCAAGGCCAAAGACCTAGAGGTCAGTAAGCCAGATGTAGGATCCTGACCCAGCAAAAAGCAAACAATCTTTTCCACAGTGTCTACCTGTATTGGAAGCAGGCCAACCCCCCAAGGAAACTTCCTTTCAATTGATTGCATCAGGGCTGTGAACTAAGGCTGCTATGTCCCTCCCTAATCTTCTTACAATTAATTGGCTGTGATTACATTGTATCAATCAAGTCATGGGTGATTACTAGGTGTTAACTGCCAAACCACCAAGAATCATGGCCCAGCCATGTGGACACAAAAGCTAACAATCACCGGTATCCATCTGCTTGCCTTCCATGTCATTTTTGATGATTTCCAACTTTCCTAGACTCATATTTTCTACATTCTACATCTGATTATTAATGGAAATTTGCAGTTGTTTTCTTCCTATTTCAAGTCATGCCACGTCAGCTCTAGTCCGGACACAACATTAAGGATGTCTTCTGCTTTTTTCTTCTCACTTTTTGTCTTCTCCATTAGCAAATTCAAGTCCCCAGAGCCTTACATCCGAGTCATGAAGGTTAACTCTGCTTTCAGGGGGAGTGATTTGAGTACCTTCCAACCTGAGGGTTCATCTTCCAGCACTGAAAGAGCACGATGTTACCCTGATAGTCATACAGTTTCCACTGGCCAATAGTATTTAGGAGTAGATGGCCAGGCCCTTCCTAGTGTGTCTTAGAGCCCCACTGAAACCTGTCCACCATGGGTGACCCTGCTGGTATTTTAAACACTTGTAGCATAGCTTCCAGCAACACAACAATACACAAAGTGTTGTAGCCTTGGGAACTCCACAGGGCAGTTCTTCTCTGTCCTGGGGGGTCACCATGACAGAGCAATGGGTTCGGTTCATCTAGATAAAGCCACCTTCCCTTAGGTGTTTCCGTCAAAGTTCAGTGATTCAATTTTCTCCCCTCTCCCATTCCTCTCCAAGACGGCGTCTGCCTGCGTGCCATCTTCATTACTGGGTAGCTGAGCTCTGAGAAGGCAAGACAAGAACATTCTAAGTGACTTATAAAGTCGCCGTTGTGTCTGCAACAGTAGGTTCAAACATAGCGGTAATTATGAGGATGGTGTAGTATTTCATTCCGTTGGACAGAAGGCAGCTCTGAGTAGGAACTAGCTTAACCTGTCAACAAAGGGAGTGCCATTTCATGAGCAGTCGCTCTGCAAGAAGCTTTAGAGATGGTCAACTCCTTGTATCCTCATGATGACCCTGGGTAGGAGGAATCCTGACTCCTTTGGTCAAGATTGTGGAACTTGAATTAGTGAAGCCAGCATTAGGTACCCAGGATGCCCCTTTCTGAAGTCTGACTTTCCTCTGCTCCCACCCACCACTGGCAGGACACATTTCAGCAGTTCCAATAAGCCTAATGTCCTGTGGCATCTGACCCCTGTTATGGATTGAGTGTTGTGTCCCCTGAAAATGTAGGTTGGAATCCTTACTCCTATACTTGTGTCCAGGATCCTGGTTAGAAATAGGATTTTCTTTGTTATATTAATGAGAGCATGTTAGTGCCAGATGGGCTCAAAACCTAATCACTCCTGAGTTATGAAGAGAACAGGTAGACGCAGACGTCAGCATATACTGGGGAAGACTGAAACCATGTGAGATCACCAAGGGCCAAGGAAGGCTCGGTGCTGCCAACGAGAAGGACCCAATGCCTCTGAGACTTTGGTTTTCAGGCACCAGACAGTGAGTAAATGAATGCCTACCCCATCAGACCACACACTTGCGGAATGTCTGCCACGGCATCACTTGGAAACCATGACATCCCCTAGAAGAAAATCTCACTTTACCTCTTCCATAAAGTGTTCAGCATGAACGTTATCTGTCTCCATATCATGGTCGGGTGTTTTTAGCTGCTAGTAATAGAAATGTGACTCATATTGGCCTATGTCCCTTCCAGAAGGAATTCACTGGCTCAAGCAGAGAATGATTTCTGGCACACGAGCTGGTTGTGGTCACGTAGACCATGGTCTCCATGGACGTTACAATAGAACAAGGGCTTCTGCGTGGTTTAGAATCTGGAAAGGTGTATCCTGGGAATGTCACCTTGCACCATACTTAATCTGTCTACTGAGCAAATCATCTGACAGGGTGGATGTGTTAGTCTGGGTTGACTGAGAAACAAATCCAGAGATACTCAGATGTGTGTGAGAAAGCGCTTTATATAAAAGAGCAATTGAATATTGAGAAGACATTCCAGCCTGGTCCAGATCAAGTCCATAAGTCCAATATTAGCCCGTATGTCTGACACCAGTCTGTAAGTTCCTCTTCAGACTCACACAGCACATGCAACGATGCCGAATGCTGGAAGATCACAGACCAGTGGGTGAAAAGTCCTGTGGATCCAGTGTTGGTGGAAGTCAAGGAGCGCCAGTGGTGTCGTGGTTACGAGTTGGGCTGCAATCCCGTGGACGGCAGTTTGAAAGCTTTGGATGTTCCTCCTCGGGAGAAAGGCAGGCTTTCTACTCCCGTCAACATTGAGTCTCAGAAACACGCAGGGGACTTGCTATGAGTCAGCATGGATTTGATGGAAGTGAGCAAGCTGAATATAGCAGTCGACTGACTCTCATGTAACTGTTTCGTGGCCACTGGCCTCGGGCTGGTGAGCAGCTCAGCTCATCACAAAATGCAGCCGCAGCCTCTGGGCACAGGGTGGCTGGTCCAGCCCGTGTCTTCCGGTCTGCCTCCCAGGCAGCAGAATAAAAGGGAAAGGCCAGGGTTTCCTTTTAAGTCATCTGGTCTTCCTTCTTGCAGGACTAGGACGGCCAAAGGCCAATGGAACAGAACAGGGCATGTTTGCGAGGCTGAGATTGTCACGGCTCCCAAGGTTGGCCGGATAGTAACGCTCATCATTTCCTGTGGCCTCATCACGGCCACCCATTTGGAAGCTTCAAGCAACAGCAACAGAAATGTGTCTTCTCAGACCAGAGCTAAGCATCAGAGTCTCTCGGCCCAAACCAAAATGTTGGCAGGGCCATGCTTCCCTCTGAGGCTCTGGGAAGAATCTCTCTCTTGCTTTGCCCAGTTTTGGCTCCTGGCATTCCCTTGCTTGTGGCCACATCACTCGGAGTCTCATAGCCTTCTTCTCTTCAGTGTGGCTGTCTGGTCCCCTCTGATTTTCTCAAGTGATGGCCTGTCAGGCCCACTTGGGTCATCTAGCACGGACTCCTTATCTCAAAATTCCTTATTTACCATGTTTCTAAGGACATAGTCATGGAAGGGGACAGTCACAATCTCCGGGGATGGGTGCTGGTATTGGTTGTTGTAGTGTCCATTCCAATTCATGAGGGCCTTGTCTGACACAATGGAACTGCCTCGGTGTTAGAAACCAACCTCTAACAACTGAAGGGTCAGTAGGTGCAATTGTACAGTTATAATATGTAAAGATTATAGTAAAGTCGTAGAGAATAAGAAAGATAGGAGAGAGAATAAAATAAAGGAGTCAGACACATTTCATGGTAGCATGCTCACCTCAGCCCCTCTTGGTGGTGGGAGAAGAGAGAGGATCTTTACTATCTTGGGATATTTATAGGTAGCCATAAGCCATGCATATAGGTAGCCATAAGACATGTAGGTGGAATCTACAGTAAGGTCCCTGAGCTCACAGGTGAGGAAACCTAATGCCTGCATTGGGGGAAGGTATGAAGGGGGCTGGGTGACACATCTGGAGGAGATAACAACAGGATGTCTGCTTCTGTAGGGAGATAAAATCAACCACGTGCTCGCTTTAAGGCAGCGTAGTTATCAGGGGAGAATCTTGGAATGATATCTAAAGCAGGACAATGTACTTGGACTTTATCG